ACTTTAAGCAAAATCAAAAGACAGACAGAGACCTTAGAAAAAAAACTATTGCAACATATACCACAATTAAAGAGCTAATCCATCTAATATATAAAGAACTCTGAAAATTCAGAAGAAAAAGATCCAGAACCTGATAGAAGAATGAGCAAAAGACCAGATAGTTCACAGTAAAATATAGTTAAAACATAATGAAGTCTTAGCTCACTCAGATTAAGAGAAATGGAAATAAAATGTGGAAAAAAATGGAAATAAAAATTCTACCAAGACAGTCTATTTCATCTCATAAGTGACCAAAAATTCTAAAATTAAAGAGCACACTCCAGGGGCAAGGCTGTTTTCTTTGGATTGGTGTTGCAGGATATGTCTTTATTTTTTCTTCCATCATTTTACTCTCATCCTTTCCGTGTCTTTATATTTGAGTGTCTCCTCTAAACAGCACAAAATTGGTCTTGCATTTTTTATCCAGACTGACTATCTCTGCCCTTTAGTTGGAATGTTTAATCTGCTTACATTTAATGCAACCACTGATAGGGTTAGGTTGAAGAATATCATATTACTGTTTGATTTCTACTTGTGTGATTGATTTTTTGTTCCTTTCTCCTTCTTTTCCTGCCTTCTTTTGTTGTATCTCCTTTTGTCTTCTTTATCAGCTTCTGCTTAGACCCGTATATAATGTTTTAGTGGTTACACTAGGATTGCTATATGGCTCCTTCACATGCCACAGTCTACTTTGAATTGATGTTATACCACTTCATGTAAGAACACTGTAGTAATGTATTTCCATTTCTCCTCCCTCCCACCCTTTGAGTTATTTTTGTCATACATTTGGCTACTATATTCCATAAATCCTAAAGCATTTTTGCCTTAATAGTCATTCATCTTTGAAAGAAATTTATATAAAGTCTTTTATATTTGGTCACATCTTACACGTTTATTCCTCTTTTGTCCTTCATGCCTACAATGGGGATTTCGTGTCCCTTCAGCCTGAGGAACTGCTTTTAGTCTTTCTTGCCCTGCAGGTCCGATGGCAACAAATTCTCGTACATTTGTTTTTCTGAAAATGTCCTTACTTTGCCTTCATTTTTAAATAATATATTCACTGAGGATAGAATTCAGATATAGGTTGCCTTTACCTTTCAACTATTTTGAAATATCATCCTGGTGTCTTCTGACTTGCGTCGTTTCTGATGAGAGCTCATTGTTACTCTTACTGGTGTTTCTCTTAAAGTAAGGTATATTGTTTTCCTGTCTGTCTACTTTCAGCACTTTGTCTTTATCTTTGGTTTTTTTTTTTTTCCTGAAGAAGATCAGTCCTGAGCCAACATCTGTGCCAGTCTCTTCCATTTTATATTTGTGGGACACCTGCCATAGCACGGCTTCATAAATGATGTGTAGGTCCATGCCTGGGATCCAAACCCGCGAACCCTGGGCCACCAAAAGAGAGTGCATGAACTTAACTGTTGCACCAGTGGGTGGGCCCCTATCTTTGGTTTTTACCAGTTTGAGTATTATGTGCTTGCATGTGGATTCCTTTGCCCTCCCCGAGGTTCACTGAGCTTCCTGAGTCTGTGGATGAGGAATGTCGTCTAGCAATAGGCCTATGATGAAAAGGAACGAGTTGGTGCACTTCTTTTATGGCAAAGTGTGTTTGTTGGACAAAAGCAGTGTTGTGTGAGATACCAAGACAGGAAATCAACCCTGTGAGTTCTATAAGTCCACAATGGGGGAACCAGCAGAAGCACGGTGGGGGCAGGAAGGCAGAGCCATCCTGAGACATGATCCCAAAAGAAATTAGCCAGGTCTCACTTTCCTTTGGGCCTCTCCCCCCCAGGAGCTGGCCTGGCAGTTCTCTCCCTGCCGTCCTGGGACCCAGCTCTTCTGGTGGGTCTGGAGGGAAGGAAGGGAGATGGGGGTGGGTTTGGGTGAGTAGAGGCATTTCCTTGAGGTCATTCCAGAGATATTTTATTGATTTCTATTTAAATTTTCATTACAGAGGTACTTGAGGAACAGAAGGATTGTTTCCTCAAAGGCAGGGGTCGGGTAGGGGACACTTCCACAGACAAAGGAGATTTGAAGGAATCAGCATGATTAGGGTGCTTACCACTACCATTCAAATGTGCCCCTGAGCAGACCTCGGCTCACCAAGCGAGGTTCTGGCATCCTTGTCACAGAATGGCTGCACAGCAGCCCAGAGGTTTTCTCTCCAGGGAGGAGTCTGAGCAGAAGCTCAGCTCTTGTTCAGGGATGCCAGGAAGTCATCACGGGGGGCGGTTAGACAATACGACAGGCCTTTTGCTGCTCTGGCTGTCAGGGTGCCTGGGCTCAGTTCAAGCTCTGTTGTAACTCTGTGGTCCCTTCCCTTGGCCACTGCCCGCTCCTGGGACTGTATCTCTCCCTCATCTCTCACAGGAGGAAGACCTGCAGCAGGGTCCTCAAACTCGTATGAAAACCACAGAACCATTTCCTCAAAGTACATGTTACAGTGAAACTAAATATGCGTGTGGCTGGGCAACATTTTAGATATCTTTATTTGCTTTGAGCATTTTCTTTTTTGTTTATTTCCACCAAGGAGCCAGGTTCTCAGTATCTCTTAGAAGCAGAGATATTTTTTCGGCTCCAGATCAGAAGCTGTGTGTCCTCACTGCTCTGCCCTCATGAAAGTGCCTGCAGTCATGAAGAGATTGTGTTGCTGCCTGCGTTGCACACAACAAGGTGGGAAAGGCCATGCCTGTGAGGGTTACATGATCCTAGAGTATGTGCCCCTTTGGTGAGAGGGTAGTGCTGTGTGTGTTTGGAGCAGGAGCTCAGAGCTGAAACATATGCTCAGCTCCCTGGTTGTGCCCCATATGAGCGGCAAGCCCTTGGAGAGATGGCTGCTGAGAGTGTTTCCCGAGCTGAGCCCAACTCAGGGAGAGCCTCATTCAGCAAAGGAGACTGTACCCTACGTGTGGGCTCCAAGCCAAAAGCCTCCTCAAGTCGAAAAATCTGGGTGGTCTGGAAACTATGGATGCAGCAGTGACCATAGTGGCCCCAAGAGGAGAGGCCCTCCTCCTCTTTTCCCAGACCTGTGAACCTCCCTGATTCTGGTTTGATTCTGAGCAGGCAGGAGGTCCAGGAACCACAGTGATCAGGTCTCCGGCCAGTCCAGTTGGATGGGTGTTTAGAGGCTGACTCTAGTTGCCTGCAAGAAAATATGTAATACAGTTTTCCTACCATCTGAATCTGATGAATGTCATCTTATCAGTACAATGACATTCCTACCTGCTACTATTCTTTTTTTAAGATTGGCACCTGAGCAAACATCTGTCACTAATCATGTTTTTCTTCTTCTTCTTCTTCTTTCCCTCGAAGCCCCCCTGTACCTAGTTGTATATTATAGTTGTGGTCCTTCTGGTTGTGCTATGTGGGATGCCACCTCAGCATGGCCTAATGAGCAGTGCTATGTCTGCACCCACAAGGCACGCAGGCAAAACCCTGTGCTGGGGAAGCTGAGCCTGCAAACTTAACCATTTGGCCCTGGGGCCAGCCCTCCTACCTCCCACTTTAAAGGGAAAGAAATGTAAGGCTGCCCTCAATGCCCTTCTCCCTCCCATCACGCTGCCCTCTCCTCTAGGTGAAGACGAGGCTCCAGTGGACAGAGTGAGGTGACTTCACCCCTAGAAACTAAAGGACTGCTGTCATTTCCAAATCCCACACCTGCTGTTCTAGAGTCACACGTGCTCACGCTCACACGGACTGTGACGAGCAATAGAAACAGAAGGCAAGTACTTTATTCCTGTGGATTTCCCACGAGATCTAGGCCATGTGCACTCATGTGAGGAGGGAGAAAGGGTTACATGATTTGGGTGAAACACTCTGTCACTGTCACCCAGGTTCAGATGACAGAGTCTGTATTAGGTCCACTGTGGATCCCAGTGCTGGGCCCTTAGGAGCTCACTCAATGTGTGTTTGTTTGTTGATGGAAAAATTGTACTTTACAATCCTACTGCAGACAGGGCTAACTGCAAAAGGCTGAGACAGACTAGGTGGCCAGTGAGGAGTCTTAGCCTAGAGCCCAGCAGTGAGTAAGAGGGACAGGCTGAAAGGGACTCAGGCTATTGAGTCACCAGGTGACCAATGCACTCTGACCACTCCGGGGGACACTGGCCTGGATGTGAGGAGTTGAGCTGGCCTTGCTAGGTGAGAGATGGGGCAGGGGTTTTGGAGAGATAGCCTGCCTGCTCTGTCTTCCATGGACCACACCTGTTGCCAGCACAGGCCTGGTCTCTTTTGCCCCTTTCCAACAGGGCATGAGCTGGGCTGGCATCTCAGGGGAGAAACCCTGATGGAACCACAGGGAGCTCTGGGTATCTTAGGCAGGAGTATCTAGAAGGAAGGGGCCAACTCAGATCAGGCTTGTCTGGAGGGGACAGGAGTTAGTGGACTCTGAGAACTCTCCGTGGAAAGCAGGGAGGGAGAAGGGGCAGCCAGGAGACTGGAGACCAAGCTGGACCCCAAGATTACAGGAGGGCAGGGAGGAAACTCAGGCTGAGTGAGAAGGAGGAGCTTCTCCAGAGACCCACCCTGACTCTGCATCAGCTCCCTGGCTGTGGGGGACAAAGCTCCTACTCAGGCAGCCTCTCCTCTCCCCGTTGTGCGTGGCTAAGCAATTGAGCTTCAGCCACAGGCTTGCCGGCTTGGTGTCCGGGACCCATGGTGTCATCCCCCTTCCTCTCTGCTATATAACACAGGGAAGGAGGTTTGAAGTTCACCCTGAGCCCCAGGACCAGAGAGGTTCATGTTTTCTCCTGATGGTGCTCAGCTGCAGCCCTGGCAGAAGGGCAGATCCAGAGAAAGGTGTGGGTCAGAAGGAGCTGTGTAACAGCTTTGCTTGAGGTTTGGGGGAGGTGGTTGTGGGAGGAGGAAGCAGGAAACAGCAGATTTGTGTCACTGGCCTTCTAAGCACAGAGTAGGTGCCTGTGAATGAGGGTCAGTGAATAAACAAGAAACCAGCACCTTCCTGCTCAGCTCAGAGACATTTATTTAGTTTCTGGGTGTTTCTGGATCAGCTCCAGAGAAGATTGGCTGGTTCCCAGATTTAGAGCTTTTTCATGGTTTCCTTTATCCAGGGCAGGAAACTCGAGACTTTCGTGAAGGCCTGTGGAGGAGTCCCGTCTCTTCGTCCATAGGAGACAAGGCCTTGGATCACATTCTCACACACAAGAGGGCCCCCGGAGTCCCCCTGTACATAGAGAGCAGGGAGGACTGAGCCTCTGCTTCGCGGCTCCTGCCCACCTGCATCCCAAATGCCTTCTCAGTGAAGGCCGTCTGGGTTGCCTCTATGTGGGAGATCAGAGAGCAGGGCAGGTCCCTGTGGGTCCCTCAGCTGCCCAGTCCTGATCCTGGACATTGTCCCAGCTTCATTTCACTCAGGGGGTGGCTCCCTCTCCTCCCCCAGGTCCCAGATCCTCTCCCCATGAGGGCACTGTGGGACTCTGCTTCCGTCTACCGTTTAAGGACATGGAAGCAGGCAGGTGAGGCTGACACTCAGCATGGAGGGTGAGCCATTTAACCAAGATGGGAGCCAGCTCTGAGGAGCCACCTGGTTTGACTGCTGCACACCCAGGGAGCAGTTTTCTAACACCTGTGCCCGGCGTGGGGCAGAGTGTTGCAAATTCACCTTCCGGATGGAACATCATGTCTGGGTGCATCTCAGGCCCCTGGTAGGTTCCCAGAAGGCCTGTGACTCCCCACTCTGGCTGCTCCCCTCTTCTCTTCCCAGATGAAAGATCAGAGTCTAGGGGGTGAAGGAGTCCCTATTGCCTGGGTCTCCAGGTCCCGAAACACCCCTCTCCCCAAAGCTGACCTAGGCAGATTCCCTGTCTCACCTTAAAGGAAGACTTCTCTTCCTTTGGGTCCCCCACGCACAACTGCGTGTTACTGTTGTAATTGCGTAAGTAGGATTCGCACAACCGGTCCTGCTGCACGGTCAGCTCCACCTCCTGCAGAGTGTTTGACACTCTGCCATTTGGGGTGACTCTCCCCCAGCCGGCCACACTGCACAGCTCTCCGGGCCTCACCTGGGCTGTGCCCCAGGGCAGGCTGAGGGTCCTCACAGCTGCAGTCAGCTTGGCCTCTCTCTCCAGCTAATGAGAAGAGTCAAGAAAGTCCAGCTCAGCCACTGGCCTCCTGGGCCCGGACAGTGTGATGGGGCTGCACTGACTTCCCTCTCTCCTGAGCCACCGGGAATAGTCAGGCAGACAGGATAGGAAGCAGGGAAAGGACAGGTACCATGGGAGGGGAAGCAATCTGGACCCAGGACAGCAAGAGCAGCAGGGAGGTTCCCTTACCTTTAGTAACATGATGTCATTGGAGAACTCCTTACGTTTATAGTCTGGGTGGCGGATGGCTTGTCTCACAGTGATGACTTGCTGGGTCTTCTCCTGCTTCCGGATGTTGTGGGCTCCAAGAATGACATTGATTAATCTGTGTAGAAAGTAGAGTGAGGTGGTGGGGTGCATGGAATCAAAAGAGATCGAACCCTGGAGCCAGAAAGGGAGGGTGACAGGCTGTAGGGCAGGGCTGCAGTCAGTGGAAATCGAAACAAGTGGAGGACTGGGCACTGAGTGACTGTGTCCCCTGTGCTTCTCAATGACATTGAGGGTACGTTTCCTGGATGCTTTCTCTAGCCCTCGAGTAATATTGGGAAAATACTCTGAGTTTACATTTTGAACCTAATGCATGCTTTTATCCTCCACAGCTGCTTCATGTGGCCAGTGTGGCCTCTCTTCTCAACTCAGCCACTTGCTCTCACTTCAGACCCTCTGACCCCAAAGCTTACCTCTCCTATTTCTCACTTTCCATCACCCAGCCTTGCTCTCAGATGGCTCCTCTCAAGACCTGTCATGGCCCTGAGTTACCGGTATCCAGGAGAGCTCCCCTGGGCTGCAGCCCCTGGGCAGAGGTCCCTGTAGGGGGTCTCAGGAGGTGTCAGTTGTCTGCAGCCCCTCACCTTCCCCGGCAGTGAGCAGCAGTCAGAACAAAGTCCTCTTGCACGAGGACACCGCCACACCTCTTCATTTTGTTCCCCCGCAGAAACTGAACAAACACCATGTAGGGGCGGGAGTGGGGCTTGGCCTCCTGTCCTCCGATGATGTCCTCTGAAAGAAAAGACTCAAAGATGGGCTTTCTGGGAGCGGGTGTGGTCAGGAGGGAAGTCTCTGGAAGGTGGTGATTGAGGGTGGGGTCTATAGTGACCTGCTGCCACCAGGGAGAGTCCTCCCAGGTTCTCCTAGTAGGAGAATAACCTTTTCTGAATGTGAAGCCACAGAACCTCCTGTTAGAAAAGGGAGGACAGTGCTTGTTGTCCCTGTCCTACTTCAGACCATGCTTGGAGGAGATCAGAGCTGTCTTCATGATGGTGGAGCCCAGCGGATCGTGGACAGGGTTCTGCTACGCCTTCTGTCTCAGTGAGTCTCCCAAGCCTGCTGAGCCTCTGCTAATGTCTCAACTGGTGCCCGTTTCTAATAATCTGTCCGTGAGCTTATGGTGCTGGATTTTCTACGATCCTCATGTCCGAGGGTCTAACCCGTCCTAGGATCTCAGTAAACCTTTTGTGGCTGCATGAATAAATGTCCTTCACTTAGCTTTCTGCTGAGGTTTGGTGGGAATCGTGCTGGTGGGATTGAAGGCCATTGGCCTGGAGAGGGGACACTGTGTGGAGCAGTCGATGGTCTGAGACAGCAGGGGGAGGTGGGGCTGAAAATGTGCTGCCCAGGACCGCAGCAGAGCCATGGCAATGGGGCGCCCTGCATGCAGTGATCCAGCGGCTTCAGAGATCAGCTGCTCCCTGGGCTTCTCTCCTTGGCAGGGGTGAGGGGGTGAAGTTTCCAGGAAATGAAACTGAATCTTAAGCTGGGTCCAGGACAACTCTCATTACCACACCCGATTTTTCTGAGCTGCCCTTTCTTGGGTTGGAGTGAAGGATTTTAACTACTTGTCATTTGTAGCTTCCCATCCTCTGCCAAATGCCTTTCTATGAACAACCCACTTCCCAGGTGATAAGCGAGAGGCTTACACACTAAACCTTCTAGTGAACAGCCTTCCTTCCTGCCATCCTTTTTGAGTGTCCATGCAGCATCAGACTTGTTAGTGTAGGTTTGGGCTAGAGGCTGGCATCTAAAAGGTTCTTGGGTTCCAACCGAAGAAAATCCCTGACTATACTGGGCAGAAGGCTGAGGAGTCCAGAGGGTTTTGTGAGATGGGCTGGGGTTTCTGGAATGGGGATGGTCACTCACCTGTCCCAGCCTCAGGAGGCAGAAGAAACACTAACAAAAGCAGGAGTGGCTGCATCTTTCCTGAAGGTCTGCCGAAGTCACAGCTGCTGGTGTTACTTCTTTCCAGACACACAGTCCGCAAGGGCAAGGCAGGAGTGGTGGCTCAAGACCTCACAGACCTCCTACACCGGTGCTCTTCTGGTTTTTGTGTGTCATCTGCAAGGTGGTTTGTTGAAGTTCTCTGGCTTGGGGTAGGTGACAGTAGCATTGTCACCAACCACACTTGCACTCCCAGTGCTGAGTCACAAGGTGAAATCAAGAAGAAAGAACAAGAATGTGAAGCCTGTGCTGCAGCCAGCAGAGGAGCTGGACCCCAGAAGCCCCTCGGTGACTGAATCTAGATTGTCTCCATTTCTCAGCTCTTGGCTCTTTTTCCATACTGATGAATTCATGAATAGCTATTTAGGAAGCTTGCTCCGAGGAAATGAGTCAGATGGCTCCTGCCCTTGAGAAGATGGCAGTCGCCTTGAGTAGACTGAGACTGTGTGGTTAGAGTGTAGGCCAGTAGGGGCTGTGGTGGGGGTCTGCTTGGTGGTGGGAGATAGTCTGGACCTTCCTGAGGGGCATGTAGAGCTGGACACACACAGACCCCCCGA